TTTGATTCGCATAATACTTCGCGATGTAGTATACCGTCATTGTATTTTTTGTACACACGTCCTTCTTCTTCTTTTTCCACGACTATTGTCGTCTTTGACTCATGATAGTAGTCGCCGCAATGTATAGCATCATGTCTTCATCTTTCCTTGGGGTGTGAGAATTGGTGAGGATGTGAGATATGCCTTAAGTTTCTTGAAAGCTTCACACCTCTCTTTTGTCCATTCAAACTTGTCTGCCTTTTCTTTAGTAGTTTGAAGAAGGGTAACCCCTTTTCTCCGAGTCTTGATATGAAACGATTGAGGGCCGCCATGCATCCCGTTAGTTTCTCAACATCTTTGATAGTCCTAGGTTGCCTCATTTCTGTTATAGCTCGAATTTGCTTGGTGCTTGGCTTCAATCCCACGTTGACCGACCAAAAATCCGAGTAGTTGCCCAAGGAACTCCGAATACACATTTATTTGGGTTCAATTTCCATCTCCATCTCTTCAAGTTTTCAAATGTTTGCTTTAAATCTTCAATCATGGTCATTCTGGGTTCTTTGTTTTTACCACTACATCATCCACGTATGCCTCCACATTTTCACCGATTTGATCTCCAAGGCAAGTTTGTATAGCTCTTTGGTATGTGGCTCCAGCGTTTTTAGTCCAAATGACATGGTCTTGTAACAAGAAGCACCGAACGGGGTAATAAAAGAAGTCTTGCTTTGGTCTTGTTCTTTTAATGCGATCTGGTGATACCTCGAATAGCAATCGAGAAAGGATAACAAAGGAGACCTCTTTGTTGAGTCGACTATCCGGTCAATGCGTGGTAGCCCGAATGGATCTTTTGGGCAATGCTTGTTTAGATCCGTAGTCGACGCATATACGCCACTCATCTCGTGTTCTTCTTTTGCACAAGGACCGGGTTTGCTAGCCATCCGGATGAAGGATTTCTCCGATGAATCCGGCCGCCATCGGGCTTTTGTGATTTCTTTTTAATCGCCGCCTTTTTGTCGGGTGAGAATCGTCAGAGTCAGCCGCTGCTTTACTGTGCTTGGAGTTTTCATTAACATCAATTGCGGTTTCACCAACTCTCTTGGGACACCGGCATGTCGGCCGGCTTCGGCGAAGATATCTTTGTTGTCCCAAGAAAGTTGGTGAGCGCGAGTTCCTATTTTGCCGAGAGGTGAGCACCGATGGTTGCCGTCTTGGAGGTATCGCCAAAGCTCAAATCAATTTGCTTGACGTCGGCTTCTTTTGGTGGTGTGATAATGCTGGGCTTTTTAGCCGGTATTTCTAATTCTTCTTGGCTTATCTCTGGCAGCAATTGTGGCTATTTGTTTTCTCCCATTGTCGGCCGTGCTTTTGCCGCAATTTGGATCGCTCAACGTCAGCAGCCAAAAGCACGCTTCAAATCGCTCAAGAGAAAGGATACCGTTGGGTCCTGCATCTTAAGCAATAAGTACGGGTAATGTGGTATTGCCATGAATTTTGCTGCGGTCTTTGGTCCGAGGATCGCATGATATGATTTAATCAAGTCCGCAACCTCAAATTTGATAAACTCGCTCGATAGTTTGCAGGAGTTCCGAAAGTGACGGGTAAAGTAACTTGTCCGAGTGGGCATGGCTGCTTTGCGGGTACTATTCCGTAAAAGGGAGTGCTTGTTGGTGTAATCATCCCAAATGAGTTGTAGTCCCATCTTCCTTAGAGTTTCAAAAAAGATGATGTTGAGTCCAGCTCCCCATCGATTAGTACTTTGGTGACAATCATCCCGGCAATAGTTGGGTCTAAGACCAGATGGGTAATGGCCTGCGTCCCTACGCTAGTCCATTGGTCTTCTCTTGAAAATTGATTGGATATTGTGACCAATTGAGATATCTTGGTGTAGCCGGTTTTGCTGTCATGATGGTTCAGAGTGCTAGTTTTTCTTGACGCTTGCTTGTGCAACTGGAGCTCTGAGAAGATTATCGCTACTGCTCCCCAGGTTTTTGAAATCCTTTGTCCTCGTGGTTGTCTTCATCTTTCTTGTGATTGTCCTCTTTGGTGTTCTCCTTACTATCTTTTCTCGTATCGATCATTGAAAGTGTAGCGCTTTCCGATGGTGTGTCTCCCGTTAGGGTGTAATGGGCAACGATGTTTTCAATGTCTTCATATCTTCCGGGTTTAGAAAACTTCTTTGATTTGTCGGCCATTGCCACGGTATTGTCCGGTCACGCTTTCTTTCTTGATGTCTGTTGCTTGATGATTTTGCCTATCCGGGTTGTCTTGATTGCTTCTATCCGGAACCTTTCTCGTGTTTTTTCTTCTGCAGTAATCATTTTTTCTACTGTTCGTCTGAATTCTTCATTGTTTCTCGGATTTTCTTTGCAGAAATCTTGAAATTGCCACCTAGCCATGATTCCATGAGAGAAAGCTTCAATTACTTCTCGTTCGGTGATGTCATGCACTTGAGCCCGCAGCTTCACCGAATCGCCGATAGTAATTTCTGAGACTTTCGCCCCCCTTTTGCTTGAGTCCTTTCAGTTCGGCATGAGTGATCGGGTGTGTGATGATACTGCGAAATTTTCGCAGAAAGCTCTTTTGCAAGTCTTCCCAAGTTCTGATCGATCCTGGGTTCAATTTATCAAACCATTGGAGGGGCATCGTTTCCAGTGCCATGGGGAAGAACAAGGTTTTAATATCATCGTCTCCTCCGGCTAGTTCAATTGATTATGAATATATTCTGAGCCATTGTCTTGGTTCGGTTTTGCCATCATACTTGGAGTGATTAGATGGTTTGAATTTGTGAGGTAATCGAACTGATGCCAACCTGTTTGCAAAACAGGGGAATCATCATGCGTCCGACTTCCTTGAATTCGGATTCGGCTCCTTCTTCGGCCAAGTGTTGTTTTGATGGGAATAATTTCATGAGGTCATGTCTGTAGGCCCTCTACTCCTGGTCTTCCTTGGTTGTTCAAATTGATGGCCCCGACTATGTTCCCTCCTCGCTTTCCCGTTATGGCTTCCGCTTTGGTCCAAGTCTTTCAAAAGCGGACTTCCTTTGATTTTGATCTTCTTGCCTATGGGTTGTTGATCCGGGCGTATTCTTGATCGGGTTCTCTCTTCATGTGTTCTTGGGATCGTTGACCGAGCAAGTCCTGGAGCTGTTCGTACTTCTCCCCGTGATGTGAAGTTGCCCCGAGTTCTTCTAATGCTTCTCGAATCTTATCGTAAGGCGTACTCCACCGTAAGGCGTCTCCTTCGCCTCTTGTTGTGATTTTCTTTTGTCGATTCACCAATTCTCGACTCAGATCTAGTCCAGCTTCTCTCTATTGCCGAGCGCCTGTGTCTTTGCCTTTGTTTCAACTTTGTTTTTCCTTTCTCGAGCTCGCCTCTCGACTTTCGGTTTCTCCATCGTAGCCTCGAGCAAAGGGTGATATGTTGGATTCTAATTCATCTGATGACCTGACATCGGGTGCTTCTGGGGGGTTTAATGGTGATCGAGGGCGTCGAACCATCAAGACTTCCGCGCGTGAGCTGTTCCATTATTGTCGTTAGTTGTCATACCGCCGGAGTTGCTTGATGACTTCGCAGCGCCGCCTCGCCGTAGAGATTGAGTCTCCTCTTGGTAAGGTAGAATAGCTGTTGTCGCAGTGCCGACTAGTTGGGTTTCACTATCCTCGTGAATGATCCTCGCCAATGGATGATACATCTTGCGATGTTATCGTTAGAACGAGGCCCTCCCGAGCTCCTGCTGCTGGTATCCCAAGTGTTGATTTGAAAGACCTTTCAAACCGTCCCCGATAGGATTTTGTCGTGTTGTCCAAATTCAAATGGAAAAGAACTTGGCCTTTTGAAAAACTCGAGGGTAATCCGAGTTGTTTTGGTTTGTATTCGAATCTCGCCAAACAAGAACTTGACTTCTTGAAAGCACTCGAATAAGACTTCATCTCGGATCACGGAGCTTGAATTCGAGTCGGATGGAATCTTATTCGAATCGGTATTATGAGTCACGCGAATCTTCCGATGAGTTGATCCGTCGAAGTTGTCGAAATAGAGGATTCTTCATGATGATCCGGATCTTTGAGGAGATGACTTTGAAGCTTGCCAGTGGTTGTTCCGCTCGCAGATCCACGAGCCAAGATGAAAATCGATCCCGTCGGAAGATCATGTTATTGAGGTCCATCGAGCTCTTGGATGCAAAGTCGCCGAAGGCCCCTACTTGGCGCGCCAGCTGTCGATGTTTTACCACCGATAGCCTACCACGGGGTACCGTGGCGATGATCGTTCGGGTTTCAAGCAGATGCTGAACTTCGATGGTGAACGCAAGAGACAATCGATTTATCTGGTTCAGGCCCTCGATCGTAGATCGAGTAACGACCCTTCACGCCCGATCGGCGTTTGCCTTTTGCGTTGGATTGATTATGAAGTGTTATATCGTACCCATTGTCCCCTTCTTTAGGAGCCCTGGCCTCCTTTATATATTCAGGAGGCCGGAGTCCTAATCGGTTTACAATGAGATTTCCTAGTAGGATTACTTAATAGTTCTATTACTAAGATTACATGGGAAGAACCCTAGTTGAACTAGATCTTCTCTCTCTCTCTTGCGGGGTATCCTGTGGGTCCTGCATCGACAGCCCTGCGCCAAGAATTTCCCCGTGCCACTGCTTGGGGTCAAGCCGTGTCCAAAGGAGGAGGGGATGTCAGCAGAAGCCCTGCTGTTACTACGGAGAAGAGGACCGAGGATGGGGAAGGCCCGCAAGTCCAGCCCAGATCACCAAGACAAAGGAAGCCCAATCCCAGATTCATCGGAGAGCAATGGGCCTGAGGCAAACGCTTGCTAGCGTGAAAGGGGCAAGTCCCCTGTAATATAAAGAAGGGAGAGAGAGCACTCGTGAGGTACACGGATGTAAACAGAACTCAAGTTACTCTACTAAGATTCATCATCGCTATCTCTGTTCTTCTTCCTCCTCAACTTCTCCTCCACGCCTCCTTTTTCCCCTTCTCCCGACCTCTGCCTCTCACAGGTTGTCGCGGATGACATGTCTCTAGGTGGATTCCATGTGCCGAAAGGGACGGGCATCATCGTTAACTTGTGGGGGATAGGAAGGGACGAGAGCGCATGGCCTCGTGCCGAGGAGTTCATCCCGGAGAGGTTCTTGGCTGGCCAGGAGGTGCACTCATCAATGGTGAAGGAGGTGTATAGGCCGTTTGGTGCCGGGCGCAGGGTGTGCCCTGGAATGGAGTACACCGCACGGTCTACGCCGTTGCTGCTGGCCTCGATTCTGCACAGAAATGAGTGGAGACTACCTGATGGTGATGGGATCGGATTGGAGGGTATGGACCTCCATGACCGCTATGGCACCGTGTTGAATCCGGCGACCCCCTTACATGCTGTGCTAGTGTCTATCGTGTGATGTGTTTGGTATACACATTGTAATTAAGGGAATAAATAAAAGTGGGAACAAGTATGTATGTCTGTGTTTTGTAACACAAGCATATAATCAATGTATCACGCGTAATAGATCAGGTGGTTGCACATAGGACGACACAGATTGATACTGGTTTAGGTAGATGATGTCCCACGTCTCGTGTACGATGATGCTTGTATTACTTGTGTGCTGTATGCTGATATATGCATGCGGGGGTGACGTATTTGGTACTGATTAGGGAGGAGTAAAGGGGTTCTATCCTCCTTATATAGTTTGGAGGGATAATGTTATAGATGAAGTCCCTTCTTGATCGTTATACATATTACTCCCTTCGTTCTAAAATAAGTGATGTTTTTTACTACATTGGACCCAATGCTCAAGTAGTTTGACCAATAGTAGGACAAAGAAATTTTGAATGGTGATGTAGGCGGGGGTTTCCGAGGAATCCAAATAACCTCTATTTTTTCAGATTTGGCGAGCATCAGGAATAACTAGTGAATTACAACCCTATTGTACCGCAATTGGTGCATTGATTTTTGCATCATTAATATTTTTTGTGGGTTGGTTCCATTATCACAAACATTGACCGTTCGTCTTATTCAATTTTTTAAGAGATACAATAATAAACTCTGGACTTTAATTTCTAGCTTGGCATGTGCTTACAATCTGCAAAATTGATAATGATGCATATGTTATTTTTACACTGAAGGGACCATGACGCCTAAGAGAGGGGGTGAATTAGGCGACTTAAAAATCTAACTCTAAACTATGGCCTTTTTTCTACCCTTAGCAAAACCTATGCAAAAGATAAACTATCTAAATGTGCAACTACGGTTTTGCTAATGTGTTGCTATCTCTACCGCAAAGGAGTAATGTAATCAATGTAAATGCGGAAGCTAAAGAGCAAGGTAGAGATATGCAAACTCCGGTCGACGACTCCGGTATTTTTACCGAGGTATCGAGAAGTGCGCAAGCTTCCCCCTAGTCCTCGTTGGAGCCCCGCGCAAGGAATCCCTCGCAAGGGCCAAGCTCCCGGTCGGGTAACTCCATGGATAGCCTCGGGCCTTCCCCACGCGCAAGTGGGTCTCCGACGTGCCTTCCGGCAAGCCTCTCCCGGATGCTCCCCGCCGTCTTCACTGTCAAGCTTCTGGTCGAAATGCCGCGGGCCTTGTTCCCTCCGGTACACGGTGGCGGCCACACCACAAACGCGGTTGGTGCGATCTCGCAAGACTTCAAGCCCCTCCGATGTACAATAATGGTGCTCGCAAGCACCGAGTGGTAAGAGGTATGCAAACCTCACTAAACACTAGGCCTAAACCTAGAGCAAGCGCATAAGCGGTGGTCTAATCAACCTAAGCACTTCGCAAAGCACCTACGCTAATCACCTAATGAATCACTCAGCACTAGGCAAGTGGAGATCACTAAAATGGTGTATCAACACCCTTGGTATGTTTACTCAGCTCCACACACGCCAAATGGCCGGTTGGGGGTTGTATTTATAAGCCCCACTAAGAAAGTAGCCGTTGGGGACGAAATCCCGCTTTTCTGCTACTGACCGGATGCTGGAGTCGTCCTGATCGGACGCGTCCGGTCATCCCGACCGTTGGAGCCGCGAACAACTGATCGGACGCTGCCAACGCCCGGTAACTTGCCACCGGACACGTCCGGTCGCAGTTTCACCGCTCTGGAACCTCTTTGTACTCGATCGGACGCTGCTGTCCTACGTCCGATCGGTTTTGCCACCAGCGTCCGGTCCAGCGTCCGGTCGCTGCTGCTGACGCCAGTTTGCTGAGCCTCTTCATCGGCGCGTCCGGTCCAGCGTCCGATCGCCTCTGCGAGCTCGTTTCTTCGCGATCTTGCGTACGGCTTGGTTCCTATCTTCGTGCTTAGACTTTGCTTGATATCTTGGGTCTTCTCTTGTGCTCCTAAGGTCTTGCTTGAGGTGTTGATCATCGGATCATCACGTCGCCTTTGTCCAAGTCACGTCTTGCATCCTATTGAACTACAAAACAATCACTTGCAAATTCATTAGTCCAATTTGGTTGTAAATGAGCCTAGGGTCCATTTTCCTTACAATCTCCCCCCTTTTTGGTGATTGATGACAACACGACCAAAGCAAGCAAATAATAAAAAATTTTGAAATTAGAAAACTACCTACTTGCTAGGATGCAATGCAAGGGGCAAGTTTATGTGATGCTAAAAGATACTACTTTGTAGAACTAAAGGGTACTACATAAAACTTATCTTGCCCTTGCAAATGTCCCCATGTGGCATTATGGATTTACGCCTAGCTTCCTACATATTCTCCCTATTACATAGGCAATGCATAATCCACTATCCTCCGTTTCTCGGACCATTACCACTTGTAAATTATTGATGCTTGCTTTTGGTCCTCTAAATTCTCCCCCTTTGGAATCAAACACCAAAAAGGAAGACATTAGTAGCACAAGGGAGGGTCAAACTTTGTGATCCTTTTTATATGCAATCGAATAGGTCACAAAGTTTGACTCTCACATTATATAGACTAAGCCCCCCCCCTAAATTTATGCATATTGATACCAATTGAAGACTAAAGCATATGCATAATTTGTAAGATATTGCACAAGGGAATTTAATCTATATAATGCATGGAGAAAGCATATAAATATCAAAATAAAATTAACATGATGATATTGGTTTAGAAATACCACATGCGGATACCAAATTGATTTCTACCACTTGCAATGAGTGGTGAGTATTTGAAGTGAGATGCTTAACTCCGGGGACTCCATTTTCCTTGCAATGAGACTACTACACACATGATAAACTTGAAAAGGGTATTAGTCTCAAAGCATCCAACTTGTAGATTATCCTCCCCCTAAATTTGTGCACACACAAGTATGGAATACTTGTAGGAATCATGCACATTGATTTTAGAATCAAGAATACCACTTGAAAGATGACATCTCAAGAATGTGAGAATAATTTTCGAAGATAATATTCGGGAGAAATTATCTACAATTTGGACTTTGGCACATATTAGATGAATAATCAAAAGACAAGCTATGTGCTGTGCTCCTAAACAAATTTAAACCATGTAGGTTTGCTCCAAGGATTAAGAATGAAAGCGAGCAAGCCTACCATAAGATATACCTAGTGTATGCATGACAAAAGATATAAACATGCAAATGCAAACCTAGGCATGAAGGGTAACTAGATGCTAAAAGATACCAATTGTAGGGAAATTTAAATCTAATACCGATTGAAGTAAATTGAATCTAGTTACCTAACATGGGAAGGGGAATTTGGGTCCATAGAATTCTCTAACCCACTTGGTAATAACTTTGTCCATAAAGATGCACCCCATGAAATGCATCCATACTTTGCCAAGTCTCCAAATTCCCCGATGTTCATAGGACTTCTCACTTCCCTTTCGGGATCCAAACCTTTTTGGTGCTCTTCATGTTGGAGATGATTTCCTTTGGCACCCAAAAGCGTTTGACCCCATTATTGGCTTGCTTGTTTACCTTGATGGCCACCACTTTGTCATTTTTCTTCTTCTTTAGCAAGTATGGTGTGGAGGCCTTCTTGTCCGCCTTGTTGGTGTAGATGTTGGAGAGGTTGCATGTTTGCTTCTTCTCTTTCTTCTTTGCTCCTTCCGTATTCTTCACCTTGCACTCATAGGACTTGTGACCTTCCTTGTGTCACACGTAGCAAACCACGGTTTGTCCTTCATCAAGCTTCTTCACTGCCTTGACGGTGTTATCTTGATGAAGTTGGGTTTGCTTTGCCTTGCCTTTCACTTGAGTCAAGTCCTTGGTGAGGCAAGCTACTTCTTGCTTGAGTTGCTCATTCTCCTTTGCAACCTCTTGTGTGCATGTATCTACAGCAACTTTCTCAACACAAACTTAGTTGCACAAGGGTGAGTCTAAATATAAATCATTGTAAGAAGTGGAGGCATCCTTTTTAGACATGTTAAAGATAGAACTTTTCTTTTTAGATGCCTTGGTGGGGGTTGTACTAACAGCTTCAAGATTAGCAACTTTATTAGTTAGCTCATCACAATGTTTGCACATAGTTTCCATTTTTGCAAGCAAACTTTTATAAGCATCTTGTGAGCTAGCTAACTTTTCTTTTAGTTTTTCATTTTTCTTTACAAGTTGCTCATCATTGATTGTGCATTCATTTGTTGTTGCATTAGCATTAAATTGCTCAATTTTAGTAGATAGTTCAACATTGAGATTAGCAAAGTTCTCATATTGCTCAAGCAAGGTTTTGTATGCTTTTTGTGAACTATCTAGCTTTTCCTTTAAACTTTTGAGCTTCTTTTGTTGACTAGTGCAAACTTTAACATATTTAAGATTTTGTTGCACAATTTTATCATAAGAAGGCAAATCATCATCACTATCACTCTCACTAGAGGATGAGCTTTCGTTACCTCGTGCCATAAGGCACACACGTGAAGAGCTTGATGATGAGTGCTTACGGCCTCACCTCTTATGATGGTGTTCTTTTTTACTTGAAGAATCATCCCATGATTTTATTGAGGTGAGGGCTTGGTTCTTGCATGCCTTCTTCTTTGTCTTGGGTGTGGGCTTGTTGGGACAAACTTCCACAAAGTGTCCCAACTCGCCGCATCCATAGCATCCTCTCTTTCTTTGCTCATTTCTTTGATTGGTGAAAATGAGATCTTGAATTTGGATGGGCACACCCTTGACATTGAGCCTTTGGATCATCTTCTCCACCTTGTTGATTAATTTGATTGATTCTTTATCAAGGTCGGAGGTAAAGGAGGAAGATTGATCATCATCACTTGAATCTTCATCATCATCATCATCATCGTCCTCATCTTCTTCTTCATCTTCACTTGAGGAGCTTGAGCTTGAGCTTATCTCAACTTGCTTGCCCTTCATCTTCTTTTTCTCGCTACAAGCGAGAGCTTTGCCTTTGCTTGATGAAGAAGCTTCTTCTTGACCCATCTTACGTGACATTTCAAATGCCACTAACTTGCCGATGACTATGCCCGGGGTCATGGTGCTCAAGTCCTCCATATTGTGAAGGATGGTGATGATGCTTGCATATTTTTTTTTGTGGTAGCATGGAGATGATCTTCCTCACGATGTCCGCATCATCTAGCTTTATTAATCCTATTGAATGGAGCTCATTGATAATTAGATTCAAATGAGAATACATATCACGAACAAGCTCATCATCATTCATTGTAAAGGAATCATAATTTTGTTTAGCTAGACAATGTTTTTGCTCACGGACATTACTTATGCCATCATGGAGCTCTTGGAGTTTTAACCAAATTTCATGTGCCGTATTTAAAGTGAATACTTGATTAAACACATCCATGCTAAAAGATTCAAACAAGCAATTCTTAGCTCTAGCATTGAAATGCATTTCTTTTTCATCACTCTTTGTGGGGTTTTCGGGATTCTTGATGGTTTTCATCCCGTCATGAGTGACTCCATACACCCAAATCTACCGCCTCAAGGTAGCAAGCCATTCTAGCTTTATAATATGGGAAGTTAGTGCCGTCAAAGTGCGGAGGCCTAGAGGTATCCATCCCAACCACTCTAAGTAGCATCGGCTCAATGGCGGTTAAGCCAAAGGTCCAAATTTGAGCCAACCGGCTTTGATACCAATTGAAGGGACCGTGACGCCTAAGAGGGGGGGGTGAATTAGGCGACTTAAAAATCTAACTCTAAACTATGGCCTCTTTTTCTACCCTTAGCAAAACCCATGCAAAAGATAAACTATCTAAATGTGCAACCACGGTTTTGCTAATGTGTTGCTATCTCTACCGCAAAGGAGTAATGTAATCAATGTAAATGCGGAAGCTAAAGAGCAAGGTAGAGATATGCAAACTCCCGTCGACGACTCCGGTATTTTTACCGAGGTATCGAGAAGCGCGCAAGCTTCCCCCTAGTCCTCGTTGGAGCCCCTCGTAAGGAATCCCTCGCAAGGGCCAAGCTCCCGGTCGGGTAACTCCGTGGATAGCCTCGGGCCTTCCCCACGCGCAAGTGGGTCTCCGACGTGCCTTCCGGCAAGCCTCTCCCGGATGCTCCCTGCCGTCTTCACTATCAAGCTTCCGGCCGAAACGCCGCGGGCCTTGTTCCCTCCGGTACACGGTGGCAGCCACACCACAAACGCGGTTGGTGTGACCTCGCAAGACTTCAAGCCCCTCCGATGTACAATAATGGTGCTCGCAAGCACCGAGTGGTAAGAGGTATGCAAACCTCACTAAACACTAGGCCTAAACCTAGAGCAAGCGCATAAGCGGTGGTCTAATCAACCTAAGCACTTCGCAAAGCACCTACGCTAATCACCTAATGAATCACTAAGCCCTATACAAGTGGAGATCACTAAAATGGTGTATCAACACCCTTGGTATGTTTCCTCAGCTCCACACACGCCAAATGGCCAGTTAGGGGTTGTATTTATAAGCCCCACTGAGAAAGTAGCCGTTGGGGATGAAATCCCGCTTTTCTGCAACTGACCGGACATTGGAGTCGTCCTGATCGGACGCGTCCGGTCGTCTCGACCGTTGGAGCCGCGAACAACTGATCGGACGCTGCTAGCGTCCGATCACTTGCCACCGGACGCGTCCGGTCGTAGTTTCGCCGCTCTAGAACCTCTCTGTACTCGATCGGACGCTGCTGTCCTGTGTTCGGTCGGTTTTGCCGCCAGCGTCCGGTCGCTGCTGCTGACGCCAGTTTGCTGAGCCTCTTCATTGGCGTGTCCGGTCCAGCGTCCGGTCGCCTCTGTGATCTCGTTTCTTCGTGATCTTGCGTACGGCTTGGTTCCTATTTTCGTGCTTGGACTTTGCTTGATATCTTGGGTCTTCTCTTGTGCTCCTAAGGTCTTGCTTGAGGTGTTGAGCATCGGATCATCACGTCGCCTTTGTCCAAGTCACGTCTTGCATCCTATTGAACTACAAAACAATCACTTGCAAATTCATTAGTCCCATTTGGTTGTGTTGGTCATCAAGCACCAAAATCCAAAGTAAATGGGCCTAGGGTCCATTTTCCTTACATACATTATAGTGTAATAGTGTGTCAGAAAAAATAACCACCCTGCAAGTTCCAGTTTCCAAAAAGACAAAAGAAAACAAAGAGAAGATTCTACATATACAGTGTATATAAGGTGGCCTAAACCTGGCCTTTTTGGCACGATTTCAACTCGTGGCTCCTTGCAAGGAGTTCTACCAAACACCCGTAGATGCGCCTCAATCAAAACTACTAAAAAGTCCTTTTAACAAAAAAAAAACTACTAAAAAGTGTTGAGAGATTAGTTAGATTACATAGATGCAAGATCAAGAACTAGGATCGAAAGAAGAAATAAGCTCTTTATTTCTTGATATGCTTTTGATATATGAATGTATATTATGTTGTTCTAGATGTCATTTTAAGTTATTCTACCATCTCCTTTTTAGAGTGGAGAGGTCGATAAATATTATCTATAGTCTTTTCTTTTATTTAATTTAGTCACCATCGAAGCATTTTTTATATTTATTATTATTATATTTATTTTCTTCTCATTTAATTGGTCACCATCAAAGTCTCCTTTTTCTATCCATTCTTGAACTTTGGTTGTATAAAAAAATGTAGGTTTTCTAAAACCCACAAAGCCCTCCTCTTCTCTCTCTCTTTCCCCAACCCCACACCGGATCGAGCACACCGATCTAGGGTTCCACCTCGTCTTCCGCTCGCCGGCGAGGAGCCGTTCGGGACCCAGACGCGACCAAGGGAGATGAAGCTCGCGGGGCTCAAGTCGGTGGACGGCGCCCACGAGGAGTCCATCTGGGCGGCGGCGTGGGCGCCCGCCGCCGACCACCGCCCCACGGCGGTGCTCCTCACCGGCGCGCTCGACGAGACCGTCCGCGCTTGGCTCCCCGACGACCTCGCCGCCTTGGGGTCCCCCGCGCGGGGCCACGCGCTCGGGGTCGTCTCCCTCGCCGCCCACCCCGCCGGCGCGCTCGCCGCCGCCGTGTCGCTCGACAGCTTCATCCGCGTCTTCGACGTCGACACGGGGGCATCCGTCGCCACGTTGGAGGCGCCGCCGTCCGAGGTCTGGGGCGTCCAGTTCCACCCCAAGGTGACTGCGTGGCTGGTTCCTCCTAGTTGGGACTCTGGATTTTTTAAAAGGCAAAAATGGTTGCTTTCCCGCGATTTCTGCTGTAACTTAGGTTGCAGTCCATAGATGATTGAGCTAAATGTGTGGGATTTTAATTAGATGTGTGGTGATTCTAGTAATTCGTGGGCAGAGTGCTGCAAAAATGTTGTCCTGGGTTGGATTTTGTGGGTTTCACAATTACTGTTAAGTGTGCTAGTGCAGATTGATAATGAATGGTGTATACCTCTGATGGCCTGGTTCACTGTATAGATTTCAGGGTTGAATCCCATGATAAAAATGTGGCCTTGACTACATGACTGCCACTAGTAGTGTTTTGTACAGTTAAGGAAAAACAAAATGCTTCATATGAATAAACAACCTTTTATTTAGTTCAATCGTGGTGCTGGATTAGTGCTGCCCCTGTTTGGATTTCTTGAGTTTGCAATTTTACTTATTGTGAAAAACTGAAAATTTAAGAGAGTATTCCTCAGATTGCTTGGTTGATTTTGTTGTATTCAGTTTAAAATGCTAATTCTAGCCTTGGAAGTAGGAAAATTAAGATCTTGCATGCTGAAAAAAAATGGTCGGTTTCAAGCTTTCCCAATCTGCCATTCATGTGTTGTGTAGGTGAAGCCTGTAGTTGGTACATAGGGAATGCAAGTCTGTCCTGTTACTTGTCTGTTGCTTTATTATTGCTATCAAATGAAGGCACTTCTAGCCCTTCACTTGTTTATTGCCAGTAATCGTCCTGCATTTATTGGCACAGTGTCACTTGATCCCCCTTTTTGGTGTTTCTGCAATCACATACTTGTACTGATGGTCCTTATTGAAAATAATATGCAATTATCAACTTGTATGTATCGGTGCAAGGTTTGTGTAGACATCTTTGTGACAGATTATGTTCTTAGATTTTTATGGTTATGCTGCATCAGTTTTCCATTATATATCTGTTTGATAAACCGGTTCACACTATTTTACTTGCTCTCAGTACATTCAGTTGGTAAAAGTTGCAATAGTTGTGGGGTTGGACAATTTGGGAGTTCACTTTGCCTGTGGACTGTTTCAAAGCCTTTACTATATTAAAGAAATCTAATTTTTGAATACTTCGAATTTGTATTTATGCTGAAATATCAAATTCTTTTTTCACATTTGGACAGTAATGCTGCTTCAAAGAATTAATTTGGAGAAGTAGAAGTAGTAAAGCTGTTGTCATTTCAATTAGACATTATCTTGATGTGATTCACCTTGCTACACTTTAGAAGCATAAATCATACTCTGGATCATGTGACAACTTATCCTGAACCTTTTTTGAACATGAAACTAATTTTCCTGTACTGTATGGTTGCCACAAATGCATATTGATAGACTTGTTTATGATGTAGAATTTGATGTTTACACAGTTGACATGTGTTAGTGGCTGTTCATTCAGTCCTTTTCTCCTGAAATGCCTCACCTGGCACTGTTTGATAATATTAGTTTGGATATTCTGTTTTGGCTAAAACTTAGACAGCTGATTGGCATGTTCTGTTGTACTTATGATTCCAGGTAATACAGATGATGGCAAATCATTTCTGAATTATCCTTCTCTCCTGTTGCATCCAATTTGTCAAATTGACTGTTCTTTCTTCAGTTTGGTTATTGACAGGCTGGGCTAATCCATACTCTTTCCTTTCAGGGTAATGCTCTGGCTGCAGCTGGTGGTGGCAGTGGATCAGTGAAGCTCTGGGACACAGAGAGGTGGCAGCCAATTACCAGCCTCACTGTCCCACGTCCAGAGGGAGCTCGCCCTGACAGGACAGGCAGTGGCAAGTTTGTCCTTTCAGTTGCCTGGAGCCCTGATGGGAAGCTGTTAGCATGTGGGTCCATGGACGGCAGCATTGCCATCTACGACACTGTTCGCATGAAGTTCCTCCACCATCTCGAGGGCCACCACATGCCGGTGCGGTCCATGGTGTTCTCCCCTGTGGACCCCCACGTGCTCTTCACGGCCTGCGACGACTGCCACATCCACATCTACGACACCAAGGAGAAGAGCCTCATCGGGGCCATGTCAGGCCACGCCAGCTGGGTGTTGAGCATCGATGTGAGCCCCGATGGCTTGGCGGTGGCGACGGGATCCAGCGACCGCACTGTCCGGCTCTGGGACATCAACATGAGGACCTCGGTGCAGACCATGAGCAACCATTCTGATCAGGTCTGGGCCGTGGCCTTCCGGCCGCCAGGTGGGGCCGGAATCCGGGCAGGGCGTCTAGCTAGCGCGTCCGAGGACAAGAGCATCTCCCTGTATGATTACTCGTAGGTTTTCTTACCATTGCAATGCCTCTATGGTACTCTGTTTCCAACCAGAGATTCGAATTTGGCCATGATGGTTGGAAGAATTGTTGTACGCAGCACACTAATTGAGGTGCTAATTGCAAGCGAAGCTAGTTTATTTCGTGTCATTGACTTAATTGTCCTGGCCTCCTGGGGTTGTTGAGTTGCATGCTTGTCCCGATTTTTCTACAGGTGATCCATTTTTGTGGTTCTTCCCTGCAGAGATGATTACGATGAGACTTTATATATTTTCCACAGTTATGTACTTTATGTATTTGCCCGACCACTATTCTAATTCCTTCCTGTTACCTAAAAATAGCAGGCTAAAAACTTTAATACCTCGTATGCTGTATTTCCTTGCAATAAATTAACTCCTGATAGTATCTAAAATAAATTTAATTCCAAGTTAGCACAAAAGTGGCCTCCGATCGGCCCGCAGTCAGATCCGCTCCCATCGGCCCATATCTGCTTCTGGAGGCCCAGAACACTGACTACGTGACCCAGTTTGGCCCGCTGAGAGTGCCCATGCACTTAGATGGGTGGCAAGTGGTGTTTGGTTGCATCCACTCAAAAAAAAAAAAAATTGTGGTTGGTTGCATGTTCATCGAGATCCTTGGATTTCGAAACTTCAAATGCGGATATCTACTAAACCGATTATCTTATTTTCAATTTGATTTCAGCACCGTATTCCTTATGATTTTTTTTACCTACAAAACAACATCACACAGGATTATGTTCCGATGAAGAAAAAATAATGATTGTGATAATGTGAACCCTAGTCGGTGGCAAGATTTGATGTAGCTGTCATCCAAACAATATTTTTACCGGTACTAGTCAAACTTCGGCATGGCTATGACTAAATTTTGTCTTGGCATCTTGATATGTGACCCTACTCTTTCCGTCTTAATTAGAAAATGCCATGTTTTAAGATTCAAAATTTATCCTCAAAAAACTGAGTTTTAGTTCTTGGGGCTCATATCGGCTTGAGATTGTGATATGCATGTCTTCGTGTATTTGTTTGAATTATTGGTTTTTTCTTTAATTAGAATGGATTAGCTTCAACAAATAAAAGTAAATGAGTAATTAATCGAGGCATTAATTTGTTCTTAAAATTCTATAACATCAAGTTGTTCTTGGGATGGAGAGAGTGATAACCAAACATGCCTAGAGAAACGCTAATGCTCCATGTCAGTCAGTCCAGACGTGGCTAACTGGGCTGCGGACAGGTCCACAGGCCTACTCCTCTCGTCGGCATACACGGTTTCTAAAAAAAAAAGAAAAGAAAAGAGAGCGATATCTTATCTTTCACATTCGCATCAGCTCCACCGCGCCGCCCACTCTTCGATTGTGTACGCACGACCTCTGCTAGTGCCCGGGTCCGCACGAGAGCCACCGCCATCCGCATACGCACATGCATCGAGCGCCGCCGCTAGCCGTGTACGCATAGGCTCCACCGTCAATGCTGCGCCGCCCCCCGTGGTGAGGGAGACCGCTGCCGCCTCCACCACAGGGGCGAATGCTTGGTCAGCGGCCAGAAAGACCTCTGCCTGCCCAGCTCGGTGCGGCCAGGCGTGGAGCTCACCGTGAGAGCAGCTCACGGCAGCACAGGTGGAGGCAGCCCACGCACATCTCGCACTCGCCTAACCAATTCACCCTGATCGTGGCGGAACTTGCCTGTGTGCAGCCCGCGACGGCCGGGATAGAACTCCACACGTCGTCGAGGATCCATTCTCCCGAGCAGCAAGGAGATGTTGCGATGAAACTGCATGTTGCAAACGTCTATTTCAAGTGTTTCAAAGGTATGTTACAAGTGTTTTATATCAATGTTGCAAAAGTAGATCAGGATATTAGACATGTTGCAATGGTGATATTAGACATTGATATAAAACGCTTGCAACATACGTATGAAACACTTGCAAGCGTTTTATCTGGATGTTACATATATTTTGCAATGGCTACAAAATGTGTTTTTCTGGTGTCTCAGACATATGTTTCAATTGTTTCGGACGTATGTTTCAAGTGTTTCATCTAGATGTTGTAGAACTATATCTTGTTACACATGTTACAGTGGGACCTATTTGCAGCAATCATCTGCTACAGCTGCTGGGCCCGCCTGCATGTGCATGGGTGTGGAGGGGACGGGCGTGGGACACGAAGCGTGCATGGTAACGGTGTGGACACGGGACACGTAGCAGCGTAGGCCCCCACGTGCAGCATGTGTGGATGTCCATTCGGACGTCCGGGCGCTAGAAGAAAACCCAACTGAAACCAAACTAAAACGAGAGTCCAACTTCACTTAAAATCCGAGCTTGACTTGACCAGAAATCACGATTGCAATGATATGATCGATCTTGTCTTCTCCCCGTACCATCAGCTTCGACTTAGTGCGAAGCGCAGCATCGCCGTCCTGAAGGCGAAGGAGATCCCCGCTGGCTGAGGACATCAGTGTCCTACAAGCCCGTCTCCCCGTCAGAGGAGCTCACGCCGCCGCCGCCGACGATGATGGCAGAGAAGGTGATGATGATGGTGCCCAAACCCTAACCCCGAACCACTGTTCGCCTAAACGGCCGTGTAGCCCATTTAAACACCGTGTAAACGCTACACAGTGGTATGTTGTTTCCATTTAATCATTCTTTTAGCCCGTTTAATTGGCAGTTTAGCCCGTTTAATGCACTGTTTAGCCCGAATAATGGCTAAACGGTAGGTGACCGACTGTTTACCGTTTAGCGTTTAGGAAAATATTGCCCCGAACAGAGTTTTTTTCCCGTTGATCCAGATCTATTGATTGTTGGGTTGATCAAGCTGAAAATTTATGCAGATCAAATTCTGCGAATTGTACTTACAAATATGTAAATAGGGCTGAAACTGACTCAGTTTCCTTCAGTCTGCCTGAAAATTTCGAGCCTACGTCTATCTCTGCCAAGAACAAGTTGAAATTGTATCGAATTTTAAAACTTTTGGATGTCACAAACAAGCAAAGCACCCACCGTTTTTCAGGGTCATGAAGGTGCTGCAGCCTGCAGAAGCTGTATGCCTACCTCCCGTGACGCGATCAACCAGCAGTTCCCATCTGTGGTCAGAAAAATCTACAGCTCTCCCTCCCCGAGTTTGCGACCTCCTATGGTCGAGAACCAGCTCAGAGTCAGGGTCAGGAGATCATGGATGCCCCTCGTTTGAGCACCGCTGCATCATCAACCTGGCTAAAACTTACTTCCCAGTTCCACCGCCGCCACCGCCTGGCTCGGTAAGACATGCACCCATCTTAATTTTTATCACGTTTTATTTATGCTCAAGTTATGATAAAGTTTAGTACTCAAACCTGCATTTTAAGACTGCAAGATGTCCAAAATGTTATGTGTTCATAACTTAATATCCAGTAGAGGTCTGTTGTAAGTAAGGGGTTCTTGTCTAAACATAAGACTTCTTATTTTGTATCGGGGCAAATTTTATGAAGCGTCAGGTATTATGTCATTAGTAGAAGTACGTCTCATTCTCTTTGCAAACTGGCACTCAGCTGTCTATTATTGGGTACTGTTTGTATGTGCCGTTATTCTGTCTATCATCACCAATTGAACACATTGGCATTAGCATGGGAAATTGTGTTTTAAGCTGGGAAAATAGCTAGTTACAGTGTCTGTGTGCGATGGCAAGGCAAGCAGTAATGATTTGGGTCATGCATGGCAAGAGAATTACTGATCATTTATGCAACGAATTGACATCATCATAATGGTTATGTTTTGCAATTCTATGTGTTATTTATCTCGTCATGCACTCATAGTAGGATGTAGTTGATCATCATACTGATGCAAAAGATGCAAAATTGTCCAATTGCCATAAATTAAACACCTGAGCCACTCTTAATCCACTGTGCAAGCACCCTAGCCCTATTTGGATCTGGCATTTATTTACATCTTAATGGATAACTGATGTACCCACTATAGCAGAATTGTGGATCCCTCTAATGAACTGTTAAAAGTGGTCTACTCTGTACTCTTCTGACCAAATGAATTTTGCAATGTGCCAGTTTTTCTTTAAGCTTATGCATCAGTGCCACTAGTAATGCCATAAATAGTGCCGAGTAAGCAAGGCAACGTTTGCGCCATGGACTGTTTATCTGTCTATTTTGTTTGTGTTTCAATTTGACATTGTTGTTGGTGCAGGAAAATCAATCCTCACAAAAAATATCAGTACCTTCTCACTGCACGTCCAGATGTTGTTCTTGAGAAATCGAAGAGATTAGGAAAGGGTGCCTTGGCACATTACAACAGAAGGAAAAAGGTGTTCTGCTCATTTTATTAACTTTTTTTCAAGAAGAAGAACATATGACTATTATATATATTGGTTTGGTAATTTGTGATTCATTATCTTCTTATTAATTTCTTGTGCCCAGATCAAGTTTGAGCTGTTGGATGTCATGCCTGTGGTCCAGATGCCTGAGTCAGGCCGTTTGTATACACATATTAACTTCACTGCAAGGTCCAGCAAGGAGGGTTCGAAGGAAAAACTTTTCTTTGCTGAGCTTTACAACTGTAGCAAAAGGAGGGATCCAAGTAGCTTCCTTGTGACTTGTTGTGAACCACTGGGTTCTGATGCTACTGGTGAGTTTTTTCTTTATTTGTTTCTTTGCTGCTTATATTTAGTTCAACAGTTTCTTTGTAAACTAAAGTGTTTCCTCTAAAGCCTTAAAATAGGCAACTTCAGTAACTAGATATAAACTAAACTTAGATGCAAATATGCGATCCTGAATCTTTTATGGAAGATGGGGTATAGTAGTGAATTCTTAGCAGTTAGGACATGTGCAGTTTTTTGATTGATCTGTCCTTGATTCTGATATTGGCAGTTTACCTGTCTTAGGTAATATATGGCCTTTTGGATTGAATATGCTAACTTACAGAAAAAAGGGTGAGTGGGTCTGGATCTTAGACATGAAGTGGCTAGAATTCTCAGAAGAGTTGAACTGCTAAATTCATAATGTGTCATGTTGTG